CCTAACAAAATTCTTTCGATTTAGCCAAACATTGTTCGAAAATACTATATTTCCAAAAGGTCTTCATGAACTGGTTTAAAGTCCTAATATTGAGAAATATATTTCACTAAGCTCTACCTTCCATTTTCAAGGAGTAGTTTGGAAATTTTAGTAATTTCATAAATTTTAATGAAAATCAGATTCACTGTTTGAGCTATTCGATTATTTGAGCAAAACATTGAATCCTGCTTCAGAATATCTTGTTTAGGTACATTTGAAAAATGTTTATTCAAAATTACTACTTAACTACTTTTGAAAAAAATGTGCACGACATTTTGACATCAAATTTTAAAGAACATATTTCATTTCGAAAAAATTCACTATCTTCAATCATGTGATTGTAGAATGGGATCAAAACAATTTTAAACGTTTGCAATATATGATCGCACATCAAAATAACGAATAGATTTACTGGAATCAATCCAATAATACATTTTTTTAAAGTGAGGTAAAATTTAAGGACTTTTTTGAATTTTTTGTTCATTGCAAATGGTTTGTGTCTAGAGACAGTTTTAATGATTTTTTTTACCCTAACCCATGTCAACAACACCTAGGTTTTAGCAGTATCAGTTATCACTTGTTTAAATGTATTCATTAAACTTTGAAATATATTATTTTATAAATGTAGTTTGTATGTACTACATTTGCAAATAAAATGTTGTATCAAAATAGTGAACTTTTCCCTTTTTCAACGATTATTTTATATTTACACGTGTTTTTCCAGACATAGAAAATACTTTCGCGTCGAATACTTACGCGAATACTGCAATATACCATACTATTAGCATATAGCAGCTTGACGCGCTCCACATTCCACTCGCGAAAACTAGTCGGGTCGGGGAAGTCAATCTAATCATGACAATAGCAGACTTTGTATTTTAATTAATACTAATCATACTAATGAATGGTCACGCGGTGACTATCACTAGAGCTCTGGAAAGACAAGTATTTTCATCTACCATTTCCTTGTCAAGCTTAGCCTTTGCGGCGGTGTACGATAAACTGTATTTTGAGTTTCTTTCAATATTAATGTGATACTGAATGCTTTTGTGTGAATAATATCTATTTAGGGCATAAATACAGTTGAAACATTGAAAGATACATTTTTTGTTCAAAGAGATGCAAACTTTACACTACCTATTCAAATAGTTTGTACTGACGTGATATCGGTCGTTGTGGCAATATGTGACGATACGTCAAGTTATTTAAGTAACTGCTTAAAAAGACATTAATTAGCTTAAACAATAGTGTAATTTTATTTATAAAGAAATAAAACTAGTGGTGCTACAGAATGGCACAGACTTTCCCATATTAGTTTTCTATTTCCTTTGGTCTCGGTTAGCTACGAGTATTCCAACTTGCCACATTCTCTTGCCTGCTGCCATCGCCGCCCAAAGTACATTTTTTGACATTTTTTTAATTTTTCGGTTTCCTAATTGTAGAGCGGAAATATTATATTAAGATTATTAAAGAACAATAAAATCTCTTCCTAAATGACAATTTTCTTTGAAAAATTTGGAACGGTTTTTTAAAACACTGGAGTTTAAGCGCTACTGTTAATTCGAAATTAGAAGCTCTTTTTCACATAAAATTTTTGAATTTTCGAAAAATTTAATTTGACGTCATATTAAGTACTTTAAGTGTTTACAAATTGCTTGAAATGTGCATATCAGCGGCGTGAGAGATCTTTCAAAACATTTACATTTGTGTAATTTTTGAAAAAAAAAAAAAATACATCGAAATTAACTTTACGTCATATTAAAAAGTATAATTACTACTTTTCTTTCGAAATGTTTAAAGAAAAAATTGGAGCCGCTTTTGAGATAATGACGTTTGAGCTCTTCTGAAAATGCGGAATTTTGAGCTAGTTTTCACAGAAAACGGTAGTTTTCGAGAAACTTTATATGACATTATTTAAAGCACGTGTACTCATAAATGCAATAATGTAAACAAATTGCACCTACTATAAATTTTAACGACATGAGAGGCGAGTCAAACAAATACATTTTTGTAATTTTTGAAAAAAACAACAAAAGAATAGCGCAATAAGGTGTTTAAGTCATCTTATAGAGTAAATTTAGCACTATCCTTACCAAAAGTTTAAAAGATTAATTTTGTAGTTGTAGGAAGACACCGAAAAAAGTACACTTTTGAAATTTTTGAAATTCAGAGTTAACCGTGAAAATTGGACCTATGCGAATTTTATAAATGTATGTTAAACTATTATTAAAGAAATTTAAAGAAAAAAATGGAGCTGTGGTTGAGAAATTTTTTAAAATGTCCGGGGGACTTTATGTACAGTACCCTCAAATTTTGAAAACTTTTTTCAAAATCTCAAAGATTCGATTCAAACCAGATCGACAAGATTTCTTCAATTTGGAAAAAAATACTACGCATGGTTTAGGCGCTAGTCGTGTTCACAGACACCAGACGGACGTTTTAAAAAAGGAAGAAAAAAAAACTAAACTTTTTCGGTATCAGGTGACCCCAAAACATATTTCCGTAGAAATCTCGAAATCGATTTTCCGCAGCATTACGTAACTTTTCCTATACTACATATTACTCCATATATATGTACGTACACGAGAAAGTAAAAACTAGTATATTTGTTTTTACTTTCTCGTAAATAAATCGTAGAAAGAGAAAGTTATGTATCTAATGCTGCAGGAAAAAAGTGCCGATTACTTGACAGAAAAACACGTTTTGAGAGTCCTTGATATCCCAAAAGAGGATTTTTATTGTTCCTAAGTGCAATAAATTGCTTTCTCGAATTCGTAATCAAACTCACGTTTTCTGGAAGCACGATACCAAAAATGTGTTGTTTTTTCTCATGGAGTTTTAAAATAGGGCATTTTTTTAGTGGAACCGGAAAAAGGACCGATGAAGTAAAACCGGAAAAGATTTCTCGACTCAAAACCGCTTTTTGTGAGTCTCTGATCTCGAAAAAGTGGATTTTATTTGCTTTTAAATGTAGTAAAGTAATTTCTCACACTCGCACAGTAGTCAGAATCTGCTTTTTGTAGGTGCTTGAAACCGAAACAGAACCGGACATTAATAATAAAACAAAACGACATTGTTTTGTTTATAAGAATTTTTGCTTTTTTGAAACAATTAATGAAATAATTTTATCGTATCGTCAAACATATCACGTCAACAATCAGTTTCAGGTAGGTGTGATGTGGTAATGTCCTGGAATGTGAAATGAAAACTATAACATAGTGATTTTTCAATATGTAGTATGCAAGAAACTCCAATTTCGCATTGATATGGGGAAAATACAATTACAAAAATCGATTTCAAGTATAACTTTAGGCAAGAAACGCGACGTTTTAGTCACTTAAAATTCATTACAAAATGATTAAATAAGGCATTTAAAAATCATTAGACCTGAAAAGTTAAGTTTCGGACATCTAAAACTGATCACAAAAGGATAAATGTTGGCATTTTTATTATTCAGGGGAGTCAAATACTTTTTTCACATTTATAACAGTTACTACAAGCATAGTATTTAATTCACTTTCGTAATGAAACAGCCCAGTATATAATCAATATTCGTATTGCCCCCCCCCCACACACACACACACAGAGAAGAAAACTTGAAATTATCTTTTTTACTTTCTGGAGCTTCACGGCTTGAGCCTATTTTGTCAGATTCGCCTTCGCGACAGAAGACTTCAGCCTGACCTATGTCTTTCCTCGTCTAGTCAGCGTAGACGACACGCCGCGGCGATAAGCCTCAACTTGCTGCACAGAGAATGGATGCAATTGCCTAAGAAGTGCGTGCTGACTGGAAACGAGAATAAAATATTCTTTATTTTGACTTGCAAGGTTCCTTAAGTTCAGTGTGTTGGGTGAGAGATTTCTGTGAGTAGTCGATTGCGTATTTGCCGAGCAGGGAATATACGCGTTTCGGGAAAGTATTTGCGTTTTGGTACAACAAATTTAAAATTGAGTAATGAAAATATGATAATTCTTCAAAATTACTTGTTTTAGGTACTTTTAGGCAAAAAAATCAAGTCATCAGCTACCCTTTTAGGACATTTTAGACATTATTAAATATCAACAATTATTTTGCCAAACCTCCTTAAGGAACTAAATAGGTGTCCTAAAATCCGAGGTCCACTTATTACATTTTCATGTTAAAACTCGTTCATGTTTGTTAAAACGCGTTTGAATACGCCTCCATACAACATACGCGAAGCGAGATACATAATACTCCTCTACCTAGAATCTTAATTTGTTGCTTCACAAGGGATAGTCCAACTCCTGTGAAGTGTCCTTAACCCTACCCCTATCCCAATTCCTTCCCAATTCTGGCCACTGGGTAGTGACGCAGGATCGCGTGGTAGTAGGCACGTACGCGAAGGTGCTACCTGGCGGTCCTCTTGACAACTGATCATACATGACGGATATGTCAATATTCATGGAGAATTAATCCCGCACTATTAATGGTGAATTACTCCGAAAGCTCAAAGCACTCAACACCTCCCATGGGGCTAGGAGACGCGTTGCGACAATTGTAGATGCAACAAATTTAAAAAAAACAAACATGATAGAGTTGGGTTATACACTAAAACAAAATGCTCCAAGGTTGCTGTTCGAAACATTGACACTTGACTATTCATTTAATTCAGACTCCCAGATTGCATACAGATAGAATACAGAATAAAGATGATTTCACCTTTAACTTTATTTGCCCAATACAGCATGTGCACTTCACCTCTTAACAAGTTAAACCAGTAGCTGATCTGAAACTACAATTTAAATCAACTACTCAATTATTGAACAAAACTGAATTACTGTTGGAAATATTATGGTTTTGAAGAGGTTAAATGCATATATTCTTTGATATATAACACACAGACAATTGTGTATTAAGAACTTATAATGATCATTTATTTTACTCAGTGCAAACATTTATTTTAGGAAATTGTAGGTGGGATTGATAATGAAGATCACAATTTTCAACTTGATTTATCACTCTTTATTTCAAAGGATTTTTGTAATCATGATAATACTACATTCATTCCTCAGCAATCTTGCCAAAGGAGATCACTTTTCTTGCAGACCTTCAAAGATGCTAGTTATAGGTAAAGATTTAGATGTCATTTTAGTTCTTAACATCTTATAACCTTTTCTATAAACACAATTAAATACAATAACATTTGTCTTTTTGACAGAAAACAAATTGGATGCTAGAGTGTCATTGTCAAGAGCACATGGCGTGCTTGTGCAAACATTATTTAACTGCATTATTACTTGTAAAATAAGTTCTAATAAAGAAGTTGTTGAGAGTAGATAGGAAATTGGAAGTATTGACAGGGAAAAAAATGATCTGTTAAATAAAAGAAAGGTAAAGAGGACAACTTTGCATTTCAAGCACCCATAGACTTCATGGAGGACATAATTTAAATATGTTTCATATCTTTGACAACAGAAAATATAATAGTAAATATTACTTATAATATCTTCCTTGGTAACATCCAAATACAACATATTAGAACATGTGTATTACACAATTATGCCTACACAATTTATTTACCCTTCAGATGATTCATCACCTTCATTGGTCTTAACAATATTGTAAGAAACATCACAAGATGCATTATAGTTAATCTTTCTCCCTATTTCTTTCATTGTGGTTAACACAGAAAACACATTTCTTGCAAACTTACTTGCTTATTCATGTATGTGACAGGAACAACCTGAAAATTTCATCACTTATAACATCTAATACAACAATTATATAACTGCAAGTAACATGTATGACTCACTGTTCTTTTTGGTTCTGGATTCAGCACAACCGATAGAGCAAAGGAAAGCTGCCTGCAATAAATATGTTGCAGAACTAAGAAGCAGCAGACGTGTATGTTTTACATAACAAACAATGAAGAGCCTGCTTGATGCCATATTTCATGGACATCACTAATGGTATGCATTTTGCATTATTTTTCACAATTGTAACTATTTTTGCCAGATATATCTGAAAGCTGAAGCGATTTATATTTTTACAGTCTTTTGTAAATGGATTAATGTTGGAAATTCAGCATAACTATTTCAACAGACAATGATGGTAATGGTCATATATGCATATTTCAGTACACATATATGTTTATAAAGAAATCTAAATAAAAGGAATATATGGAACTCTCTCCTTTTAAAAGTTTTCACATACATATATATTCATAGCTTCAGAAACCTGGATAGTACATGTGTCATAAGCTCTTACACAAATTTTTAATCAAATACCAATGGTATTTGAAAATCTGCTTCACGTATATAAGCTACATTATTCTTGATATACAGACTTGTAGCAAATAATGTCAGCTTAAAATTTCAGTTTCAATGTAGTCTTCTACAGTTTGACATGAATTTATTCAACAATTTTCAATGATTCCCTTAAGCTCTGAATAATTATATTAAATGTGTGCAATTTCTGAAATATGCCAAACAGCATTTGCAACTACTGGTATATATAACATATACTAAAGTATATATTATATAAATGTAGCTCTGATTGAATGATGATTTACCCCACGAGACAAAGATGGACTACTCGATTCCAGGTGGAACATCAGCAACTGATATGCCCAAACTTACTCAAATGAGTTATCGCAGTTCATGAGCCAGTATTGTAAGTAGGAATACTGTACATTTTATACTTTCCCTTCTTTGTCTGGTGAGTCTTTTCCTTTGCCCCAAAATTTGTCAAATCTTGTTCTAGCTTTCTCTAAAACATCAGATGCCAAGGAACGTCCAGAGGAAGGGGAAACTATTGGAAGGACTTTTTGAGGTTCTTGAACAGGTATATCTGTTCCTAATATATCCGTTGATGGAGGGATGTCAGAAGGAGTCAGTGCTTCTTCTGATGCATATTCCCCAGTCTTCTGTGAAGTAATATCAGAACTATCTGTGTCCTGCTTTGGCATTTTACTGACGCTTCTTTCTGGGCTTTGACATTTTAATTGTTCTTCCCTATCAGTTGACACAGAAGATTGCCCTATTTGTCCCCCTTCTGATTGTGTTCCTGACTTGGTCTGATCTCCTCCACCCACAGTAGAGGAATCAAATGCAAAGGAGGGATCTTCAAGGCATTTCTGTGTTGAACTAATGGCTGATGTTTCAGATTGGGGGGTGGAGGATGAAGGAAGGATATTTGTTTCATCTGTTTCTGGTTTATTTTGTATATCAGTTGTAGATTCTACTGGTCCAGTAACAGGTGAAGTTGCCACATCTTGTTCTGTATCTGATAATGGAGAACGCCAGCCTGAGAAGAAAATAAAATTGCCAATGAGTAAAAAATTAATTACACTTTTAATTGATTAATATAAAGATATCCAAAAAGTATGGGTTTTCTTCTAAAACCATGTTTTACAATTTTTTTACATGCATTTTTACATGAACACAAATTATGCTCATACTTGTACATGCATTCAATCTCATTCAAAGAAATGGTTTTCACTATCCACACAGTTTACCTTACTAGTTTACATCTTAAGTTTTGAATACGTTCATAGCTCCATTTAGCTCTTCTTTAGCTGAATTATCTATGTAAGCTTTGAAACAGTCTTCAGAAGTTTCATTTGTAACTAAATTTCTTTTTAAAATTATCTGAATTTACTTGAAAATATTGAGAAGTATTTTCGAAAGATTTATTACCCTTATTACTCTATACTAATAATTATAGTTATATTTTAGACATTCACAAGTATTGGTATCCTCCAACTTCTCCTTCTCAATTGTTCTCTTGTTTTGTTTTTGTGCTCCTTCTTTAAATTTGACAATTTGATAAACTTCTCTGATGTCAACCCTGCTTTTGGAGATTCATCTTGTGGCAATTTTCAGAGCAAGTAGACTGCCTGTGGAAATCATACACTTTCTGTATCGTTACAGCTAATTCATGCACGTTTGCCCTCTTGATATTTTTATTTATTTCATATACTAATTAATCTGTAGCTTTGTTGGTTTTGGATTCTTGATGAATACCACTGTCTAGTTATCAAAAGAGATCAATCAATGTTTTGGAAATTCCTTCTGATATTGTTTTTAATTTAAGAAAAATTTCTATTTAGAAGAGACATTGTAGATTTTTCAAAGAAACACATGATATATTATATGTCTCAACTGATATTAGAGACAGTCAAAATAAAATTATGTCCAATTTGTATTTTGGACACAGAAGATATCTTTGGTAGTTATTAGCTTCATCCATTTGGTATTTCCTCACAGTACACAAGTATATGAAACTCCGAATTTCCTTCCTTGAAATTCAATTTCTTGTGTAGACACCCTTTGCAAATAATTCAATCTTACTTAAAAAAATGTTTATGATTGTCCTTACAGTTTACCTTTGGACACTGTCTAGTCAAGCGTACAATTAGTTCACAGCTTCATTTAGCACGTCCTTAGATGAATCGTATAAGGAGCTTCGAAACAGTCTTTAGTAGTTTCATGGATTCTTCAGTGCTTGTTAGCTTTTTGTTGCTTGCTATTTTCATTCTACAGCATCTCTTCATTTGCATTTATAAGCAGTTGCGTTATAAACAGCATTGCAGCACCCATAACTGTAGAGGGCGATAAAGCTAAGAGGGTGCAATGTTCCAAAAAATACCCAACACAGATTTTTTAAATTAAAATTTTGTTTTTAAAATTGTAAGGATGCTAATATTTTCATATTTAGAAAGATGATGCAATGTTAACAAATGTGCAGGCAGTAAGTCTGAACAAGGTTTTCCCTCTAGTGAATCTGAAATTTAAGGTGGGGAGATCTTTGGTTATATGTTCTGAGCTGTATTTTGAGATACCTGAAATAACTCTTTCATTGAAATATTTGAAGCACATGAACCTATGATGAGCACATTCAGTGTGTGTTTTTTTAATATTTCTGGAATTCTAGATGTATTTGTACACATTTATTTCATATTAATAGTTAAACCAATTTGTACACATTTATTTCATATTAATAGTTAAACCATTTTCAGTGTTTTCATTTAATATATATTCAATTTGATATTAGAATCATATATTTTATTAATGATTGTATTGATTTTTATTAACAGATTATAACAGACAATAATGAATAACAATAATCAAAAAGATAAATAGTCATTTATGCACCAAAGGCATTATAAGAGTTCTAATGATCTAATGGCAATAAAATGCCTGAGGGCCTTTGGTCCTATGGCTTCTTGTCACCTGAGATCATTAGAACCAGCTAATGGCTGTGGTACATACATAATTTTATTTTTTTATTCTTTTATTGCTTCAAATTTACTTATTTACTAGTTAACTACACTTCACTTGACTCAATTTGTCATTTCATATTTCCCTCCTATAATTTACTTCATAAGAGACCGTTCAGTATCATTCAACTGTTTTCATATTTCCCATGTATCCATGATCCTCTCCATCCAGATATGTTTTGCAGTGTATATCGAGCTCTGTATCGAAGGCAATAATAAGCTATAATGTATCAGTAAAAAATAAAAATAAATTATTTATAAGCAAATTGAAAAATTATTTAAGCAATTTAATAACAATTAAACAATGTATATTACACTTAAATGCTCACAAGGGGATAAAAATATCTTCCTGTAATTTCTAGATAAACTTGTTTAAAGAAATAAAATATGGTGGAAAAATGTTTCAAAATATAAATATTTTACCCATAAACAAGCAACCAACTGTTGGGCATTGTTGGCTCTTTTTTAATACCATTTAGGAAAGACTCGAAGGTTATTATACCTTCTCTTTTATTATTTTGTTTCTCTTCCTTCAATGCAGTGTCTGCATGCAATGTTTAACCAATTTTGGCCAATTGACAATGAAAAATTTTATTTCAGTTTGTGTAATGTATTAAGGCAAGCAGGTTTTGAAAAGCACTGTATAATATTTCATACCCCAAAAAAACTGTTGGAAATCTTGAATTAGATGCAATAATTGAAAGAATGGTATTCATTTGCTAATCAGTTTGTGGGTGATTGCACATCTGGTATTGATTTTTAGACAGTTTAACTACTGATTTCTGAAGTTTTCAGTGATATTATGTAAAAGCAGCATCATCTCTGGCCATCTAACAAATCTAAGTAATAGAACATAAGATTGGGCTTAATTGATCTATGACACAAACATTTTCATAGTTATTCAAAGTTTTAAACTTCAATTCTGTACTGTCACTATCACTTCAACCACTGAGAGCTACAGTAGTACCAATGAAAATAAGTTTAGTTGAGATCTTATCTTCTTAATAACTCGTAATATCGAATATTACACACACAAAATAATTCTCATCTAGGAAATCAGTGAATGTGATAGTATTGTATGTGAGAATTATATAGTTCTAAACTTCTTGACCATATTTGTCTCTTAAATTCACCACAATAGTTGCCAAGACATCTCACAATGCCTAGCTTGATGACAAAAAATCTGAGGTAATAATGACAAATTTTCTTTTTGTGGAAAATAAAAGGTACAGTCCCTTTAAACATTTTCTCTCTAAGACCAATGTAAAGGTTGTAAACCAATGTAAACCACTCACAAAACAACTAGGATGGGATCAATGTTCAACAAGAAGTTCAAAAAGTTGGAAATGTTTATATATTTTGGAATTCAGAAATATTTAGTGACTTTTCATTTCCAAATTCTTGAGATAAGTTTTAACGAAATGAAATAAATAAACATGCACAAATTTATGTGTACTAATATTCAATCAAATTAACATTTATAATGCACTTACGTATGCATACCCATAACAGCACACACAAACATCCGCACATGCACATGCTTTCACATAGACACATTTCACACACTCATTCACAACATATAAAAGTATGACTATCTGCACTGAAACCTTTTTTTGAGGTTAAGAGGAATTGTACCATATGAAGTTTTGAAATGACCTTTACATTAACACATATGTTTTAATTAGTAATTTACCTGATGAAATTTGTGCTTGATCAGGTAGTTCTGGTGGAGCTGATTGAGGAGCAGGTGGGGGGATAGCAGGGGGTGTCCATGCTTTCACTTCACTGTGAGGTCGATTTACAAGTTCTCCTACAACAGAAAATGAGAAATTGTATTCCAAATCCACATTCTTGTAATCCTTCAATTTTCAAGGACAACATTACAAACTTTACATTGAAGCAAGCCCAGTCTATTGGGAGAATCAAAGGCATGGAGCGTGAATATCAGCAAAAGATCATCCAGTATCAAGTCAACAGCTGAATGCATTATAATCATCTCATCCACTTTCAAAATCCCTTCAACAGGTCACTTAATTTATTAAGTTACCAATTTTGATCTGCCACCATGCAAAGGGCTTCTATTTTACTAAGAAACATTATATCTCACTAAATACACACATCTTAATTTTAATTTCATCCTAGATACAAAAAATAATACTTTAATATATGACATGTTTTGAATCTGCTTCTCATTCACCAATTGTAATATATCATGCATACATAGTCAGTGAAAATTGAATCTATCAGAAACTATCTTTAATGTTAAGTATGAAACACGCTTATAGAAGCAATTATGAAACTGGTATAATGAATAATAAATCCTTTCAAAAGTATAATGTTAGGAACCTAGGTACAGAAGTGCACAAGTGCCAGGGTATTATTTTATTATAAAACAATTCTCTTTTCTCTGACATGCTTGTGCAATAATAAAAATAATATGAATCTCATTTAATAATACATCTGTTAATAAAATCTCTCCATAGGGTATTCATATCCATCTTTTGTAAGGAGTAAGTTGATACTAGAGGCCACTAAGGAGAGTAAGAGTGGTGCAACAGCAAACTATAAAATTTGTGATTAAAGCACTCTTGGTCTTGCAATCTCAATTATCTAAATGACATATAACAGGGTGGTAAATGATGATTTTTTTTCTGCAAGAGCAATCATCTTTTCTTTATCTTGCATCCATTTCACATTTCACAGTTTTTAAATTTTACCTTAAATTTGGTATACATATTTAAAGGAGTCACAGGTCTATAAATACTACATTAGACTAAAGTTTACTTACGTTGAATCTACACATCTTCATTTGTTGAAATCTGTTCCATCATAACAATAGTTAGTTTTCATAAGTCATTTTGCCAACACTACAGCAATTGAGGTGCAGTAGAACAAAGGCAATGAATTGGGTGAAGTTATTAGAAATTGTGAAAAAATGAAAAGAGATGCACTGCACTGTTATCTGCCTAGAACCATAGTACCTAATGTTTATAATTATTTAGTTTCTAATAAAAATGTTTTGGGTATATACAATGTTTTATGTAAATTCTGAAGGCCGCAAATTTGGAGTTACTGTAGAAATCGTTGAAAATTATGAGTTGGACAGACTCAAAGATGTTTTATGTTAATCACATAAGCCGATGGCTGTAGCCATGTGAAATCACACATTCATTGTAAAGCATTACTGTCTATCAAGTGATTTATGTAGTAATTAAAGTATGAGTTGTAAATACAACACTTTCTGCTCGCGGAGAGTGTACTAGTGTATTTTTGTCCAAACATATCCACATTTCACTTTTGAAACCTTTGGGTTGATTGATTAGGTTGACAAATGAGCAAAAATGACATCCTTTCCCAGTAAGTAAACTATATGCCTAAATTTCTCTGTTTTTTATAAGTTCCAATTTTATATCAGCATGAGAATACCTACACCAAATTTGACATTATCACATTAATAACAGGACTAATATGATAATTCCAGTGTAATTACTATTCAAATTTAATTTATTAGTGCAACTGTAGTGTGAACTTTATAAACCATTCGAAAAAAATTAATTTTAATTTATGTTCACAAACAAAAACATAAAATTTAAAACAAAATTATATTCTTCTTTTCTGAACTCCCTGTATCAATTGATATGTAGGCTAGGCTTTTATTGACTTAGCAGAAAGTAGTACTTAAGTAAATTAACTCAGAGGATGATTTCTTAATTCTTAGGTTAATTCACGTTTAGTACCTCCATTCAACGATTAAATATAAATTTCCAAATTGATTATACAGTTATTATATTATACATCTGTTTCTCAGTATTTACATTGCAAAATTTGATTTCATGGTAAACAATATTCAGAAAACAGATATTACTTGCTCTCCTCAAAGAATATTGCATTACTTGGCTGAAAAATGTTAACGATAATTTTGTTACTAAATGAGTTTGATTCAGTGCAGAGTAACATACAAACAAACTTTAATGGAAATATTTGACCAAAAAAACTTAACTACTAAAAGAATTAACTACTGAGATAAGAAACTGTAATATATAGGCAGATCCAGTTACATTTTTCTTGATTATTCATCTTAACTGTAAGAAAGAAATTAATTAACTAAACAATGGGTAGCAAAAGACACAGGTCTTATTTTAATAAAGTAAAAGTAGTTTCAGTAGGCTTCCTTCAAGTTGTGAAAACACTGTATTATAGTATGCATACAACAATGCAAAATCGTCATGTAATATTCTAAAATCTATCTTTCACTGAAATATTGGATCAGGCTTCTGAACAATTTACTCTCAAGGATTTTAATAAACAAAGGTTTATTAAATCACAACTTGAAAATGAATTTTGGGCTATAGTAAAATAAAAAACAAACAAACATTGCATGGTTGAAGTAAATACATTAATTTAAAATATTGTCTGTTAAGATTTGAAACCAATTATTTTCCTACACTTTGATTTCAATGAAGCTAATTTACATATCAATATAAATCTTTTGTGAACTAATTCTCCTATGTGCACACCAGACCCTATGTGCAGAAAAGCTTGAAATTACTATTAAAATAGTAAAACGTGGCAAGAGTATTGACACCCAAAGAAAATCATTTTGTCATCCAAATATTAAATGGAAATAATTTGGCATTAAATACTGCATATGTACTACCATGATCATTCAACGAACAGATGTTCTCAGAGAAATAAGTAGAAAGCAAGCAACTAATTTTTCATGTCAATTTAATAAAATAATACTAATCTTACACGAAATAAAAAAGGATATTTTGAGAGGAATTGTCATTCATAAGCAAGTGATTCGCAAAACAACTTTATACATTGTCCATTCTCATGTTTGGGTAGTCTGTTACATTGCAAAACCTCCAATGTGTTCAAACACTAGAAATTCTTAGGCCAAAGTATTATCATGCAGACTGGTTTTATCTACAGTACTCATGAATGTCAGTTGAAATTTTTTTACAAAACTCGTATTTACAGTGATATTTCATTCACAAGACTGTAATTAATGTTTTAATTAACACCTATATTTGAAAACAATTCATTGACATTGGTTCTAAAAATGAACTCTTTAAGAAAGAGAGCAAAGTGTGAAATCATGGTGAAATGGTTGAAGTGTTCGAAGTATGATTCTTAAAGTAGAGATTTCAAGTTTTAATTTAATACCAACTGAAAGAATTTTAGTTGAAAATTCACAAAGCTATAATAATTTGAAAAGTGCCAATTTTACTTTTTTTGTAATGACTGTATGTAATGAATGTAATGACAGTGTATAATTCTTATTAACAATAAATTATAATACAATCTCACTTGGAGCATGTCTTTGAAACTAAGAGAAATACAGATTTGCCAGTGGAGGTAACTGCAGACCATATTGTGCTTTTTGATTCATTCGGACTTTTCTAGAATTGGACTAGCTGAGACAATTTGATTAATGGTTTCTAACCTCTTCCTGACAAATAAGGAATTTATCATCCTTTGAAATATTAAGAACCACTTTTATCATCATGTCGTGTACTCAATGTCTAATCTTGAGCAGCTAAAACAAATCCTTTCCATTGAGGCTTAATTCTTCCATTTTGAAGATATATAAACTATTGGACTTTGTTTACCAGACATACTCTTTTAGAAAGAATCCTCTCATTTTACTTTCTAGCGCCCTTCCGTGGTAACAAGATTATTCGCAAGTATTGTAATCGTGGGCCGAGAAACGGCGATTTTTCGACAGAAAAATTCTCGTTGACGGGCGCTGGTAGCGAAAACGTGGATAACTCTCGTTCCTATATGTAGTAAATTACTTCCACTAACACGTTGTGTAGTCTGAGTCAAAATTTTGTGGGTCCTTGATACCGAAAAATTGCCTGACGGCAAAACGTCTGCGTCAATCTGTTCGTCGGTCTGTCTCTCCGTCTGTTTGTGGTCAACGCTTGCATCTAAACAGTTCACAATTTTCTTTTTTTTTAATATTGATATTCACCGATCGATTTCAACGAACTCGAGGCCCTGAGAGTTTGGAACGGATATTTTGAATTTGGGAGTACTTTACAAGAAGCTTCAACTTTTTCAATTTTTTTTAAAACATAGCTCCAAATTTGTTGGTTACACTTTGTCATCGGATAGCGTTTAAAACACTTTTAAACTGGTGGAGTTAAAACAGCATATACTTTCTCCCCCGCATTTTCACGCAAAATTACGCCAAGAGTACTCAAATTTTCGAAAAATTGTACATGACCTTATTTCTAAACCTACCTTTAAGGAACTGATTTAATTATGGGAAAAATCTGTATCTCTAATATTTTAGTTTAAGAAGACTGAAAAAATTTTGAACTTAAGCAATTACCGAAAAATAAGGGTTTTCAACGACCATGAGACATGCACCATCCTCTTAAATGTACATCATACTATCCAACAACAAAATTTAATAAAAAAACGATGGCACCATATTTTTGAAAATTCTTGAAAATGTTCCAGAGGCTTCGTATAAAGTACCCCCAAAAATTGAAATGTCGGTTCCAAATTCAGGGAGCCGAGACATCATCCACATCAATTGGGCAGATCGATCTTGGAGAAAATAAACGTTTTAACAGCTAGCGTTGTTCACAGGCGGGCGGACACAGACGGACGGACATTGGATTATTCGACATCAAGGACCCTCAAAACACGGATTTTGACTACACCACATGATAGAGGATTTTAGTTTCTAAATTTAGTATCCAATGTATTGTTTACCAAACTGTTGCTAGGCAACCCTTACTACACCTGGAATACGTGGTAATGAGCTAGTTTACGCACTCCGAACGCGGAAGT